ACAATTGAAAAGAATGTAGATTATTTGCAAGCAATTATAAACTGGCCTCGAAAATAAAAAAATTTTAGTTTCGCCAAATTTTATTAAAAAAATTTTGTTCAGAAATAAAGTTTTGATATTTTAAGTAATTCGTCTTTAAATAATATAAATTAGCTGAAATAAACACACATACACACCCCAATGATTCTTAGTCAAGAATTAAAAATAATTCATAGTTGAAAAAAATTCATAATCTGTTGATGATTAAGAATATAATAATGTTAGTTTGGAAAATAAATTTAAACCTACTACTGTAAATTTGCTACTTTAACTTTTGTAATAACTTAACTGCTGGAATCAATTAGCTTTAAGATTAGCGCTTTCTGGTGAAGTAAAAATCTAGTTACAAATATCAAAAAAAGTTTTTATTTAATTAAAAATATTTAATAATTTTTTCATCATTTTTCAGCAACGGATTTTTATAACGAAATAATAAATTCAGAGGAAAAAATTAAGCAAATTCTAAATTTTTATCTATAAAACATTTGTCGCAAAAATATTTGCAACACCTTAGAATTTAAAGTAACAAAATTTGTGAAAAAAAATTTCATTCAAAAAGCAAATAAAATAATGTATAGTTGTGCTAATATTAAACTCAATGAAAATTCTGTTTATTTAGAGTACGAAAAAACTTACATACTTGAAAAATTTAATAAAAAAATGAAAAATATTTTAAAAATAACTGTGTATTTGTTTTATTTATTCATTACTTTTGGTGCCTTCCTTATAACTTTCAGCTTTGAAAAGAATGCATTCATTTTAAAATTATTAAAGCACACACATTCTTTTTCACATTTATAAAGTTGTTTTTCGCATATTTAAATTTGATGCTGACACATCGATCTTGCTTACCAGCATTCTATTTTTACCAATAATACAAATACTCCTTTTCCAGTGAAGAAAAAATAGATAAAAAATAAAAAGCTATGACGTAAATAGGTCTGTCGCTAAGAGATTTGAAAAATTCACCGCCAATTTCTCTTCCACTTTTTAAAAAGGTGCCAATATGTATGGAAATCCCCATTTTTTCCCCCTTTTGGCGAAATATGGTATTCAATTTACTTCTCCTCAACTTTTTATGGAATAAGATTAATTTTATTTCGGGTTCTCAGAAAGCCTCTTCCGAATAATTTTTGACTTTGAAAGAAGCCGTGAAGATTTCAGTCATAACAAAAAGTTACGAGTGTTAAAAGGAAAAAAAAATTGCAATATTATCTTTTCGAGCATTAAGATTTTTGCAATGGAGCGAGGTTATTCCTTTATTAAAATTGATGTTTTCGGTGTAAAGATACATCTTCATTCTCTCTTTATTTCTTAAAAAAATGAGACAATTGAAATAAAATATTGGATGTACATAAAATTTGCTAGAAATGATACGAACTTATTAAACAAGGTCTAGTTAATTAAACAATAGGCCGGTTTGTTCCAAGATAATTTTAAATAATTTTTGCTTACATTTTTAAATATTTAATTTGTCGTTATACAGTAATTTTGTGCACACTTTGAGATATGAGACCAGGACCTACATTTTAATGTGGATTCCGAGTCACTGAACAAACATCCATGCCACGGACAGGATTTGAAGCCTGTAGTACCAGAGGCCAGAGCGCTTGCGAATTTGCCATTAGGTCGATTTTTAAAAGGCTAAAAGATAGAATTTAACGAATGTTATTACTCATACGAGAGCTATACGTACATACTATATATAGTATGTACGTATAGCTCTCGTATGAGTCATAACATATCTCGTATGAGTCATAACAGTCTCGTATGAGTCATTTTTTAAGACTCTCGCTGAATTGACAGCAGAAGGCATATGATTGGTTCATGGAAGATGATTGGATCACATGTAAATATTATGGCATCCTTTGATCCTCTGTTGAAAGACAAATGACTTATGATCCTCTGACCATAATTTAGCTATTTGCTACTTACCTTACTTGCAACATTCTAGCGACACATTCTTGCAACACACAGAAATCTCAGGCTTATTTTATCTATATTAGATGCTGACCTTAAATGTACCGTTTTTTTATCTTATTATTCTAATTATTGGCTCAAAGTTTGCCATGCAGGCTCTTAATAAAAGTTTCTCAAGTATGATCTTGAAAATTATATCTATTTTGGAACAAATCCACTGATTGCATCCAATGTGCATCCTACAATGGATCCCTGCTCACGTGGATTTGGACTTAATGAAATTGCAAATTCTGTGGCGAAGAATTTCAGAAGTCTGGATCAGGCTGTCATGACTGCTTCTCTTGCAGATGCAAATGATTTGGCAAAATCTAAACTTATAATTCCTTCTAAAATTGAAACTAAATACCAAATTACAGAACTAAATGTCTACAGAAAAAAAAAGCTATTACTCTCACAAGGATGATTATAGCACTTATTAAGGATGGAGCACCACAAAAATATGAAAATTTCTGCAGATTGCGTTAAGAAATATCGAAAAATGTAGCAACTGCCCTGATGTCTAGCTTACTCCTCATCATGTATTTGATTGTTCAGCTGTTGCAGTCGCCATGCATTGTCTATGTTATTCACCGGAAGAGGATTTATACTCCGAACTGGCAATCAATGTAGCCAATGATATTCGGGGGCACTACAATATTTGATTTCCTTGTTACTCTTCAGGGGATACGACACTAACATTCTGATGAATTCATTCAGTAAAAGTGTAAAATATTGTGCCCAATTGATGCAGAGTAAGACGGAACAGGGAGGTTTTTTTTTTTTTTTTTTCAATGCAGCTGGCAAACAGACATGGACGTCTTGGATGCCTTAAGGCAAACGCAGCACAGATATTACTCACTTTGCATTACCCAGGGGGCGCGTGCAACTTGAAGATAAGCCACGGACGCGGAGTAACAATACCTCCGCAACGTCTACGATCCTATTAGACCGGAACCTACGTTTAAAGTGGATTCCGAACCATTATACACATCCATGGCACCGCCGGGACTCAGACACGAAACCTGTGGTACCGAGCACCAGAGCGCTAGCCACTCGGCCATTCACGCCCTATGGAACAGGGAATTGGTATGTTAGTTATAAAAATGAACACTAGGCCTTCTTAAGTTCTCCGACTTTGTTTTAGTTTTTAAAATGGAAGGCAGTAAAGTCTTTTCAATGAAGAATTCTCCATCTGACAATTCATATATGAGCTTATCATACATGTGTTTGACATGCTATACAGTCTAGCGCTCTGGCGCTCGGTGGCACAGGTTACGGGTTCGAGTCCCGGCGGAGCCATGGATGTTTGTAGGGGTTCGGAATCCATTTTAAGCCGTAGCTCCCGGTCTACTATAACTGTAAGAGCGTCACGGAGCAGAATTCAGATTTCTACCTACGGATGCTCCATCACAACAGAAGCTGACCCCCTCTTCCCTCCTTTCATGAGGGGCACGACAACAGCAACATGTTATACAAATGGGCTGTTTCTATTCCGTTGATTTGCATACATCTGTAATGATTTGTGGTTAATCCTGCAATGCTTTTGAATGTTATTCAACTTTTATAGATTTCTCAGATGTAGCCTATCAGATCAGTATGATTTATGTCTCAATTAGTGGCTTAATTAGTATCTCACCACAGCAATTGCATCTTATAATGTGACATGACTGGAAAAAAAGTGAGCTTGTTGATCTATTTTTCCTTGCCTATCCTTCGTATCTCAAAGTGAAAGCGTACTAATATCTATTGCAAGATGCAATATTGGCCGAATTCCGGCAGTTATTAAAACCAAACATGTAAATCATATAAATTCAAAATGGTATTACAAAATGGTATTATTTGGCCAAACTTACCACATACGAGCAGTAATAGTTCAATACAGAAACTGAATACCCTGTGGCAATGGTTCTTAAATACAAAGTCCAATTTTAAAACATTATTCCTTATTTACATTGAAAACAGCTTAAATCTAAAATATTGTTTCTCGCATAAATGAATGTAATAAATTACAATAGTTTTAACTACATAAGGGTAATTACGACAGAATAACGGAGATTGCAATACTTTTATAAGCAGATTGGTGTGTGACGTATAGTTTGCAAACTATCTTGAAAATCATCAGTGGTAGTCATTCATTCACAATCTCACTTCGGTTACAAAGGGCCTGAATGGCCGAGTGGCTAGCGCTCTGGCACTCAGTATCACAGGTTTCGGGTTCAAATACCCGGCGGTGCCATGGATGTTTGTAGTGGTTCGGAATCCATTTTAAACCGTAGGTCCCGATCCAATAGGAGCGTTGCGGGGGCATTGTTACTCCGCGTCCGTGGCTTGTCTTCAAGTTACACGCGCCCTCTAGGTAATGCAAAGTGAGTACGTCTGTGCAGCGCTTGCCTTAAGGCATCCAAGACCAAGCTGTCTAAGTGTTTGCCAGCTGCATTAGAATAAAAAAAAAACTTCGGTTACAATTACTGCATTAATTACATGTGTTCCACTGTTTAGTATACATGTAGCAGACTTGGAAAATTTCTGCAAGGTGTAATAAAACACAAAGTGAGATCGGCAAGTGAATGAACAGTCGTGAGTTCTTTTTATCATTTCATTAACAATATAGAGAGTTAACAAGGTTGGGATCCTGTAACGGGAGCGAGAAATGTGGTACTGATTTAGACTTTAAGTTAAAACCCTTATAATAATTACTCATACCAAGACAGTATATGTTAATCTGAATCTTCAAAACACCAAAAAAATACTAAGAATACCGCAATAGTCAATTCAATAATTTAACTCAAAATCTTCAATAACCTTAACCGCATGTATATAAACAGGTTTGGAAGCCTTCAGTGACTTATAAAATACACATGAAAATAAATGAAATTCAAATTTTATGATTTTAAAATAAATGATATATTTTTATTATCATTTACAATTTAGGCAAGTAAATACGTCATACAATTAACATTATGCTAGAACATATTACTTCTATAAAGTATGAATCATATGCCAACGGCCGTACCATGCTGAATATACCGGTTCTCGTTAGATCACCGAAGTTAAGCATCATTGGGCGCGGTCAGTACTTTGGTGGACCACCTGGTCCACCAGGTGGTGGTACCACCTGGGAACACTGCGTGCCGTTGGCAAATTTGGGACCTGAATGGCCGAGTGTCTAGCGCTCTGGCGCTCGGTGCCACAGGTTTCGGGTTCGAATACCGGTGGTGCTATGGATGTTTGCAGTGGTTCGGAATCCACTTTAAGCCGTAGGTCCCGGTCTCCTATGACTGTAAGAGCGTCACGGAGCAAAAGTCAGGCTTCTACCTACGGGTGCTCCATCACAACAGAAGCTGCTTCCTTCCCCTTCAATCATGAGTCCATATGGGCTTGTGGGCTTGGCCAGCCAAGTGGGATAAGAAACAAAAAACATGAATCATATATCTGAGTTAGTCTATACTATAGTATAATACTGAAGAAAAAAGTATGAGTCTTAACATCTCAAAATAATACTGCTCCAAGATTCTCTAGCCCAAACCCTTTCCCAGTGATTATGCCCCTAAGTGAAATGTTTCTCAATAAAAAAAAACTTAATTAGAAACAAAAGTCACTCACCTGTACTGATCGTGTTATCATCGAGCGCAAGGCAAACGTGGTACCAATACGATTGAAGTTTAACACTTTTTTGTAAAGACGAGACAGAAGGCAGTTTTCTGCTATCTAGTTATTCGGATCATGTTTTTGGGGTAAACACCTCCTGTGGATAGCTCTAGATCTTGTCATCTGTCAATGCCATAGACCGCACAACAGTATAATTTTATACTCTTCGTACTGAACGTTACTGAACGTAAAACAGTGGTTGAGACCTCATTCAGCCTTTCCAGCTTGGTTTACCACGTCGTTCAATCTTTTCTCTTTTATTATCAGCTTCTCTCAGGACGTTTCTCTCCCTTTCGATGTCTACAACATTTTTTTTATTCCTTTCGAGTTCACACAATCCTTCATTTATTATTGAAAGGATCTTTTTTCTTGAAATCCGATCCTGGGCTTATAGGTTTTTTCACTGGTGCGACGGATGCCGACACTTAATCAGATCGAAGAGGCGGCTAATCTTTTCTGTAAGCCAAAGGTCGATTTCGCTCTGTACAGATGACATTTTTCAAATCATTTGTGTTCAAAACAGTGCAGATGGCAATCCAAATCATTTCCCAAATCATCTTACAACCAACAAAACGATTCATTTCCTTTCGGAAGTGTCACCAGTTCAATAAATACGCAAGAACAGATATTTTCACATGTCATAGCTGTCCCAATGAACTTTCGATCATCTAGTAATACAGATTTGACCACCTGCACTTTAATTGCAAATTTAAACACCAAACAATTATATCATACCATACAAATATATCATACGAAGGACCTGTTTCCTGAGGAACAGGTCATTCGTTGATCTGATTCTATTCCTATCCAGTAAGGGCTGCAGATCATCATACTATACATCCAGCAGACATAAAATATTCATGAGAGTGTGCTACTCATGAATTATGCAATGATTACAAACAATTTCACCTTAATACAAAAATAAATAGTCCTCTGGTAATCAAAATAAATCAATAAATCAAAACGAATAACCATTAAATTATTCGTTTTGTAAGTAAGTAGCACGAGAAATTAAAAATCGACTGAGTATAAAAGATAAATATTTATTCAGTAACTGCACGTCAAGAAAGTTAGCAAAACGGGTGTTATTGCATACATATATTATTGCATCAGGTTTTAATTTCTATGATTAATTTGTATATAAATATATATATATATATATATATTGTTCTAATGCAGCAGACAAACACTTAGACAGCTTGGTCTTGGATGCCTTACGACAAGCGCTGCAGAGACGTGCTCACTTTGCATTACCCAGGGGGCGCGTGTAACTTGAAGATAAGCTACGGATGCGGAGTAACAATGCCCCCGCAACGCTCTATGATCCTATTATTACCGGGACCTACGGTTTAAAGTGGATTCCGAACCACTACAAACATCCATGGCACAGCCGGGATTCGAACCCGATACCTGTGGTACCGAGCGCCTGAGCGCTAGCCACTCGGTCATTCAGGCCCTTTAATTTGTATATAACTGATTGAACTCTGTAATTTTATCTTATTTAAAAAAAAATATTTTTAAAAGTTCGCCTTAACTCCATTTGTAAATGAGTATAATTGAAACCCTTCCCAATAAATATCCCCATTATTTGAAATGTATGAAATGTGATCTATAATACAGCAGCTTGTGCTATTCTTTTATAAATTCTCTATTTCTGTTGGAAAAAAAGGACATTGTGAAATGATAAAAATGTTCAAAATTCAAAAAAAAGTTCACAGTAATCGTTTAAATATTCAAAAGAATTCAAAGTTCAAATTAGTTCTCTCTGGCTTTAAAAATGACCATCGACTGATGGATAAGATTTCCCTAGAAAGACATAAAATGGTCTAATGATTAGTATGTTGGAGTTCTCTGAACTTACGGAACTAAAATTTTCCAAGTTTGGGTGGGGCCTGATAAATGCTAAGTACCTCTTGCTTAGTAAAATTCATAACTGAATGTTTTTTTTTCTTTCTAATGCAGCTGGCAAACACTTACACAGCTTGGTCTTGGATGCCTTAAGGCAAGCGCTGCACAGGCGTACTCACTTTGCATTACCCAGGGGGAGCGTGTAACTTAAAGATAAGCCACGGACGCGGAGTAACAATGCCCCCGCAACACTCTACGATCCTATTAGAACGGAACCTACGGTTTAAAGTGGATTCCGAACCACTACAAACATCCATGGCATCGCCGGGACTCAAACCCGAAACCTATGGTACCGAGCGCCAGCCACTCGGCCATTCAGGCCCCCATAACTGAATGTATTGAGTACATCAAAAAAGCAAGAGGTCGACATAGGGGTACAGTGTGGCATATCTTTCGTCATGTATTCTGGGTAATGGTGAATCTATCATACTGTTCAAATAGAGTAGAAAAAATTTGCGTCGCGCTAAATGAATTTTCATACAAAATTGTGATAATGGCGATTCTTAGATCTTACATTGAACCATGAGATAAACGGGCCCGATGGCTGAGTGGTTAGCGAGAGGTTAAAATGTGGGTACAGTGTGATATATCTTTTGTCATGCATTCTGGGTAATGGTGAATCTGCAATACTATAATGTTCAAATAGAGAAGCATCTCAGGTCAAATTGCCGAGCACATGAAACCAAGAGCAACAGTTTTAAAGAAGAGCGGAAATAATTTGTGTTGCGTTAAATGAATTTTTAAACAAAATTGGGGTAATGACGATTATTAAATCTCACACTGAAGCATCAGATAAATGAGCCTGATGGCTGAGTGGCGAGCGCTCTGGCGTTCGGTACCACAGGTTTCGATTCCCGCCGGTGTCATGGATGTTTTTAGTAATTCTGTATCCACTTTAAACAGTAGGTTCCAGTCTAATAGAATCGTAGAGAGTTGTGGGGGTAGCGTTACTCGCGTCCGTAGCATATCTTCAAAGCTACACTCAACTCCTGGGTAGTGCTAAATGAGTAACGTCGGTGCAGCCTTTGCTAATGGCATAACAATAATTGTGTCTATATTGCCAGTTGTATCAGTAAAAAACCCCAACAAGATAAATAATTTGAATCATATTATGCTTTTTTTTTACACAAAACTTTTAACTTTTATTCACTCTTGGATACTTTAAAATAAAAATTATTAAAGATCAACACTAGTTTAGAAAAGGGATACCACCAGAGTATATAAAGAAAGGGTATAAAAATTAAAACACATCAAGTGAAAGAAAGATAAACGTGAAAAAATACTTCACAAAATTGAAAACTATTCATAAATTCGAATTTTTTTAAAGAATAATTAAGATTCGAAAGCTTTTAGACTGCTTTCCGTTACAGCTAGGCTATCATTTATACGCAAAGTAGCAAACCGTTCTCATAAATGATTAAGTACATTTTCATATCAATAACCAATCATAAGACACAATACAAATACCCACCCATCTTCAGAAAACTACTTAAAAATCCCCCAGAATCATAATTAGAAAATGCCAATCATACTTAGATTCCAAACTGGGTAATTTGAGATGCATTTTTTTTATTGCTTAAAAAGATAGATTTCTGCCGTATTACATTTAATATGATGGACGTTTTATAAAAGAGCATACTAAAAGAATGCAAAATCATGCATGCCTCATTTAATAAAGCTAGCGGAGGAATACTTCATTTAATATTTGCAATTTGCATATTAAATGTCACTTTAACTCGGTGTCTCGCTTCCAATAAATAAAATTTAACTTGCTTCTGCGAATTCCTTTTTTTACTGGTCATTATAAAACAAAACATCAAATGAATATTTTAATTTTTCTCTGTCCCATTCATTTTTGTCAGATTTGTTTGAATAAAATAGAATGTTTTTGACAAAAGCAAGAGATTAAAATTCAATTATGAAGTTAAGTAAAACAAACATTGACAACGTTTGATAAAATTCATTTTCTATAATGCAAGTGAGGCAAAGTCCTGCTATTCAGCTACGAAAATTAAAAAGTAAAAGAAAAATTACAATAAATTTCCAAATAAAGTAAAAGTTAGTAAAAGTAATATTACAATAAATTTCCAATTCTCCTTTGAATCTTGCGGATTGGTGGCCAATTGCCTAGCTCTCTGGCCTTTGGCATCACAGGATTCAGTTTCAAATCCTAGCGGTGGCATTTATGTTTATTTGTGGTTCGGAATCCACTTTAAACTGTAGCTCCCGGTCTGTTTAGCGCTCATGCGCATAAGATGACCGTAGAGCGACAAACCAAACCTTTGATTCTTTATGTACAGATTTCTAAATAAAGCAAAATACAGCTGACTCTTAAAAGGCTAAGAATTTTAATGAAATTCATAGCTCTAATAGGCCGCTTCGCCTTTGGTACCACAGGCTACATGTTCGAATTTGGAGGCGTCATGGATGTTTGTGAGTGGTTTGGAATCCACGTTAAACTGTAGGTCCCGGTCTAATTAGCAAAAAGTGTGCAAAAAATGACAGTAGAGCGGCAAACCAAACACATTGAACCATCAAATAAATAATTTAAATCATATTATGCATTTTATAATTCGAAA